TACATAGTTCACTGATTTAATACCCATGCAGGAGCAGAGAAGATTTTCAAAGAATTTATGCATTTTCATTAATATATTATATTATTGAATTATGAGAAGTTTTGATTGTTTGCCGTCAGTTCGGTTTCGTTATCGTACTTCAAAGGGTCGACATACTTTTAAAAAACAAAAAATTAATGTATTTTCACTATATAATCATAAGAGCCCCACCCTAACCCCAGACCTCCCAACCCAGGGGGGCCTGAAATTCACAATTTTGGAAGAGGCATCCTTTCTCATCATAACTATGTACATAGTTCACTGATTTAATACCCATGCAGGAGCAGAGAAGATTTTCAAAGAATTTATGCATTTTCATTAATATATTATATTATTGAATTATGAGAAGTTTTGATTGTTTGCCGTCAGTTCGGTTTCGTTATCGTACTTCAAAGGGTCGACATACTTTTAAAAAACAAAAAATTAATGTATTTTCACTATATAATCATAAGAGCCCCACCCTAACCCCAGACCTCCCAACCCAGGGGGGCCTGAAATTCACAATTTTGGAAGAGGCATCCTTTCTCATCATAACTATGTACATAGTTCACTGATTTAATACCCATGCAGGAGCAGAGAAGATTTTCAAAGAATTTATGCATTTTCATTAATATATTATATTATTGAATTATGAGAAGTTTTGATTGTTTGCCGTCAGTTCGGTTTCGTTATCGTACTTCAAAGGGTCGACATACTTTTAAAAAACAACAAATCTGAATCACCGCGACGCGTAAGTTTGCAGAAAAACCTCTAGAGACAACAATTTTTCACTTAAGTTTGATATGTACTCTAAGAAATACTAAAAACTTGTCTAAAATAAATATTCAGAACACTGGAAGATATCGGAATATTTTCGTATTATTATTTTACAAGTTCCGTATACCCATTTTAAACTCATTCTTCGTTGTTTTCTTCATTGTAAACGTGACTTTTTATACCCCCGCTTTAAAAGCAGCTGGGGGAGGGGTAGATAGTGATGGGATGTTTGTCCATCCATCCGTCTCAGTCGGTCTTGGAAATAAATAAGAAAGTTAAAGTATCATTGCAAACATTTTTCATTGAAGACAAAACTAAAAAAAAAAAAGCTCTCGTCATCCTAAAAATTGATGGATACAAAGCATGATCTGACTCGACAATTTTTGACAGCCCCCCCCCCCCCCCTTTCTAGAATCAAATGGCCGTCTCTTGCAAATATGTCTATTAGGCCACAGGCACCTGACGTTACTTATTTTTCTTTTGATAAAAAAAATATACACATACCTAAATAATTTATTATTAGGTATGTGTATATTTTTTTTTCATCAAAAGAAAAATAAGTAACGTCAGGTGCCTGTGATTATAGGCTATATATAAATTCATTTCAATATAAATTTCAACCAAATATGTTTTTGGGAATTGACATTTTTTGTCCTTTGGATCGTACATGATTTACATGTTGCTTTTGAAAACAGCTCAGTGTGGACTGAAAATGAATTTCCAACTAGAATTTCAATCCAATATGTTTGTACGTACCCGCCCCAGCGGCGGATCCAGGGGCCCGTTTTACAAAAGAACTTACGACTAAGACCAAAAACTTCACATGATTGTAAAATATTGCAAAATTAATAATTCTCCTAATAATTATTTGTGTAAGAAGATCTTACCACATTTCTTTTAAAAAGATTTTAAAAAATTTAGATATAATGTTTATTTAAAAAGTTATATGAAGAATGAAATTTTGTCTTAAGTCGAAAGTCATTTTGTAAAACGGGCCCCAGGAGTTTATGTGGGGGGTTTTTGAGGCCCAAAGGGCCGAAGGGGGAGGGGTGTCCCCCTCCCATAGAAAATTTTGTTTTAAATGGTTTAAAATGGTGCATTTTCCAGCATTTTTTGGCATATTTTTGTAGCTTTTTTAAAGACCGATCATCACAATTTTTTAATAAAATGTTTTCAGTTTATTTTATTTAATTTAACTTTAACACAAGACTTTAGACTTTGCCTTGAAAAAATTGTTAAATCTGACAATTTTAGGAATACAAGCAGTTGACGTCAAGTTGTCTTTACTTTTTAAAATTAAGTCGTATGTCAAGCTGAATTTCAAGATACAAATGAAGTGCAATTTTAAACACTTAAAAAAGTTTTAAACTGAATTCTTTTTAGAATCCCTAACTAGTGTTTTTTAACTTACTTGAGTATACTGTCAATGTGATTTGGAATATAAACACACATATAATATTTCAAACTGAAGGAAAAATCACATAAATTGGAGAATATGTCAAAACTAGAGGGGTTTGCTAAGCCAACCTGATTTTGTTTTTAAAAAAAATTGTATTTATTTTTAAAACGGTAAAAAACTGAATAATAGTTTATTCACATAGTTAAAAATACATGCATTTTATCAGCAAAAGAATATAACTGAGCAGACCGTAACTATGCAGTTTTCTGTTGTTGGTACCTGATTACATTGTACTGAGATGCACGGACTACCCGATCTCTGAGGGTGCTGTATTTAATTTCATTTCCGGAAATATGCATAGCATTTCCGACTTTTTTAAAATTTAATTTCCGACATTTTTTGTTTTCATTTCCGACATATTTTTTTTCATTTCCGGAATTTACCAGTGCGGCAATTCAATGTTTTCTAAGTAAAAGAAAATGGAATTTTAAAAGTATTTATGCCAAAATATTAATTAAAAAAAAAACACGTCTACATGTATAAGCATAAAACTTTTTCACCATATTTAATGTGCACGTCATTAAATGTCAGTTACAGCACCATACTGCCTTATGTCAAAGTCACTGATAGATTTACAAAATTGGATTTCAATGATTTATTTATGATTTATTCTTTTAAAGCAATATGAGCTGCATTTTGGAGAATTTTATTTTGCTGATAAAGTGTGTTATCATGATAACTCTGTATGTAATTTAAACCCTTATGATCAATAAAACCAAAATAAAGTTTAAAAATGTTTCAGAAGAAATATTTCTCTACAATCGAATATACAGTATTATAGAAGAAGTCATTATTGACATTGTACAGGACGATAATAATTCAATTCTGCTTCAATGGAAGCTTATAAAAAATTCTTCAAAGCAAATAAAAACAACAGAAGTTTGTAAATGTTCTATTTTTCTTTCATTGAAATAGTTAATTACAATTTTGCAACAATTTTTTCAAATGTCAAACATGCAGCTCATATTGCTTTAAATTTTTCATAAATAAAGTTATCAAATTTGTTACTATAGGTACATGTACTACTTATGTATTTGAAAAAATGTCGGAAATGAAAACGAAAAAATGTCGGAAATGAAAACTAAAAAATATCGGAAATGAAAAGTTGATAATTACCAAAAATTCCGGAAATGAAATGGTGCGTTCCCCGAATGGCTACTCGGAAAAAAACAAGTAATTATCACACTCAATTGAGGGGCCCTCTAAGGGGTACAGGTAGACTTACCTGTGTTTACCTGTATAAGAAATATTTTATAAATAAGATATATTCATTAAATTTTATTATAATTAAGATGTTTTTTTCCGAAATATACTGAATAAAAAATAAATAAATATAAATAGATAAAATTAAGAATTTGAGAATTGAGAATTTACAAATTATTATCCCGTTTTGTGCAACATTTTTAAACTCTTTTAAATTAATTAACACAAATGATTATTTCTTAAAATAGTATAGATATTTGTGTATGATAAATAAAGTGTTTCTATAAAGTTTTGTCTAAATTAATTCATTTATTTATCATTTTTAATTATTAAAACATTCTTTTAAATCATCATAAAATACAGAAGTTTATGTTTCAATTTTTATAATAAATATAGACGATTCGAGATAAAAACAGATCACTCTGATTTTTAAGGAAGTCCTAATTTAATAAGCTAATTGATGAAACACCTGATAATTGATATCAGTTCACTTTGAAACGCACATCCCAACATTTTCACTGTGGTGAAGATGTTCAAAGACATACAGAATGCGAAAGAGATCCAAAAGATTCAGAGGGAAGCCGGTGCGAGCATTAGACCTCCAGCAAAAAAGTATGCAACTATAAAGAGAAGGTTGCAGTAACTGAAAGAAAGGTATCAGGATGGCATCATTGATCTTATGACCTACACAGACTCTGCATCTGAACTTCACCTTGGATAGTGATCCCTTAGTTGTGATGAAACATTTGGAGATGGACTACATAAATTGTAAATATGTGTGATATGAAAGTAAAACAGTGCTATGGCTATTTAATTTATAATGCGAAAATCATGAAAATCATTTATAATGAAAAAAAATGTGCTGCTTAACAATAGAACTTCAAGATAATTTATAGTCTTTAATATGTTTTGTGCTTGTAAAATTATTTTAAAAACATGCACACAAAATATTTATTCATACTAGTTCTCAAATGAAAAAAAAAATTAAAAATCCATTTCATTTTATTCACTCTGTTTATTACCATTCGGCTCACCTCGGCTGACTACGGTACCCAGTATATAAAATTAGATGTAATCGGCCGAGGTGTGCCGAATGTGTTTATTACCTGTGTATTGTGTGCGTTCAAGCGGAAAGTGATTTCCTCTTACGTAGTTGGTGTATATTTCACAGTTGTACAGAACAAAGGGTTCATGTTTATTATAGTCTTATCAATGCAACAAAATGATAAAATGACACTTGTATAAAAAAAAATAAATTCAAAGAGGGGGGGGGGGGAGGGGGGTTCCCAACCCCCCCCCCCCCCTGAATCCGCCACTGTGCCCATTCCATTCATGATTGTCTGATCATTAGAAGATCTAGATGTTTTGATTGTAACAGATAGAAATGACGTAACTTGTATATTTCCAATCTTGCCAGTTAATGTTCCACGGTCTTAAAACATTACAATAAACAATCAAATCGTAAAAACAGATCCCTAGATCCGCTCCTGGTGGTTTGGAAAGTCATGTGATGTGGTTCAGTGTGCGCGCACCGGTGAATGTTTTGGTTAATGGCGACATCCACGTGACGAGGAAGGAACAATATCGAATAATTATGAAAAATCATTTTCTGTGTTGCAAGAATCATTGTCATGTTTTACTACTTTTCTTGAGTTCGTATATTTTCTTACTTTGTGTCTGTCAGGAACACTGCATCATTAACAATGTTGACTTATCCGCAGTAGAAAGGTATGAAATATAATGATAGCTCGAATTTCCTTAGTCTGTTAGTATCAATGTTGGAAAGTTTCTAAAGCTATGTTATATCGTATAACATAGATTAAGATGAGCTTCATTCCTTAAATAGAACAAGGGTTTATGTATTATGGTGCTTCATCATGAATGTATTATTATACACTCATGGAATGGTTATGAGGGAAATAGCAAGTTGATGGTTTCCTGAGGGGGGAAACACTTCCATGTAAATTATACTTACTGTATTAAACGTTTTCCCTTCAATAGGTTCATCTAAGGAAAATATTTACATATGTAAATATTTGGTTAAAAATGTCAATAGATCATATTCATGAGGGAGTAGTCTCAGGGAGTAGCTTTTGTTTTTCAGGGGCGTAGTCCTCAGATGAAGGGTAATAGTCTCTACTCGGAGAAATAGTATACAATTATTCACTGGTTGTGAGTGGGATAGCTCTTTTGTCAAACCCACAACAGGGAATAGTCCCTGTAATAGTCCCTGTCAAGGGTTTGATAAAAGAGCTATCCCACTCACAACCAGAGGATAAGCGTCTTATTATACTGATTTATAATATAATTTCTGAGGTTTGAATTTTTTGGAGTAAGATAATACTGCAAGAATAATCTGAAATCCTGATGACGTCACAATGCTACTGAATTCATTATGAAATCATCAGTCAATACATTTATCGCTGGAAATCAAAATTGGAGGCAAAATTTGCATGAAAATTTTCCGAGGGTGGATAGTATACACTTGTCCACTGGGTGTGAGTGGGATAGCTCTTTTATCAAACCCGCGACAGAGAACTATTCCCCGAGGGCTTGCCCGAGGGGAATAGTTTCTGTCAAGGGTTTGATAAAAGAGTTATCCCACTCACAAACAGTGGATAAGCGTTTTATTATACTGATGTATAATATAATTTCTGAGGTTTGAATTTTGCATGTAAATTTTCTGAGGGTGGATAGCAAAAACTATACCTATACAGCTTTGCTATGCGTGAACTATAAAAGATAGCTATTTTACCTTCTGAACTTTATATAGGAAACATTTTAACAGAAGTATAATAACAAAAACTATACCTCGGGGTATAGCTTTGCTTTGCGTGAACTATAAAAGATAGTTATTTTACCTTCTTAACTTTATAAAGGAAACATTCTAACAGAAGTATAATAAACAGTTTTATGGTATTAATTTTACAGAGTAATAACAGTAGAGGTATAACATTGTTGTATACAGTTTGTTTGATGGATTCATTATATTGGTGTTACAGATTTGGTCCCTGGGAATCTCGTTCAGATGATGGTAATATTACATATCGAATTAACCTGTGTGGGAGACTTCCTGTAGGTACAGCCGGGACTGTGAAGCCGGAATGTCACTCTGACACCGTCATGTGCATGATTAAAGACGGGCAGGCACTCTCTATTGCCAACTACACTAATACCACATTGGTAGCTCCATCCAACACAGAGCTAGCAGAGGTGTGGATCATAAGGAGTGGGGACAGGTGTCCTGAGATGGCAGGAGAGAATCTGAACAGTATTATCAATCTCAAGTGTGGGAAAACTCTAGTATGTATAATGCTTGAACCACTAAAGATTTACTGATGTGTTGAATCATCATTTAAATGAGAAAATTTTTCTCATTATTTCTCTTACCTATGACTCTGAACTAGTTCCTGGCCACAGTTCCATATCTTCTAGCTTAATAATATATATATAATACATGTATCCCTCTTCTATAAGACTGTCACACATTCATTTATGTTTGTTTTCAGGGAATTCCCAAGTTTTTATCTTATACCTACTGCACATCATACTTTGAATGGAGAACAAGTTATGCCTGCCAGAATATTCCTGTCTCTCATCATGAAGTCCCCTGCTATGTTTACGATGAGCAGGGTAGATTATATGACCTTAGTGCACTAGTGAAGACAACAGAGAGTTACTTGGTAGACTCAGCAGAAGGCTGGGACTTCTACATTAATGTCTGTCGAGACATAACATCAGGTAAAGCCTCTCTTCACTCTTATCAGCCATACAACAAAATCACTAGTTTCTTAAAAATATATCATCGTTCACAATTATTTATAGTAAAAAAAAAAAATTGAACTCATCTAATGATACTTGTGCAAATTATTCCACTTTTGGAGGAAATTAAGTGTCCATAAATATATACCATACCTAAACATACGTATGTGAGTCTGTTTGTGAAGTATAGCAAATTACAGATGGAGAATTTTTTACAGGAAGCAGTAGTAAGACCTCGCGCTGTCCAGCTGGAAGTGCTGCCTGCAGAATGAACAATAGTACGGTGATAGACATGGGACATACCACTCAGAGGTTAAAGATGGACACTAGTGGTCATCTGACATTGACCTATAACTCCAGTGTCACGGTCACAGGATGTACATTCAATCCCACAACCACTATACAGTTTGTGTGTCCCGAGGCTGGAGGGGTATGTATCATTTCTCCCTAGTGAGAAACTATTGATTTGAGTAAGTAATTTATTAGAAAGCAGGAGAGTGTTATTCGTATCATTGTTGTGTATTTGTTTACAATAGAGTGTTATTCGTATCATTGTTGTGTATTTGTTTACAATAGAGTGTTATTCATATCATTGTTGTGTATTTGTATACAATAGAGTGTTATTCGTATCATTGTTGTGTATTTGTTTACAATAGAGTGTTATTCGTATCATTGTTGTGTATTTGTTTACAATAGAGTGTTATTCGTATCATTGTTGTGTATTTGTTTACAGTAGAGTGTTATTCGTATCATTGTTGTGTATTTGTTTACAATAGAGTGTTATTCGTATCATTGTTGTGTATTTGTTTACAATAGAGTGTTATTCGTATCATTGTTGTGTATTTGTATACAATAGAGTGTTATTCGTATCATTGTTGTGTATTTGTTTACAATAGAGTGTTATTCGTATCATTGTTGTGTATTTGTTAACAATAGAGTGTTTTTCGTATCATTGTTGTATATTTGTTGACAGAGTGAGGACCCGGAACTAGAGTTTGATTTTAACTGTCAGTACAGAGTCCTGTGGAAAACAGAACATGCCTGTCCAGAAGTGGCCATTACCTCCTCCACCTGCCAGCTCAGTAATCCACAGCGAAACCTGGACGTGGATCTAACTCCGCTGACCAACCCACCAGGTACAGCCCCCCGTTCCCCCCCCCCCCCCCCAACTTGTCAGGGCATTACTTAATGAGTTAGAACAGCCAACCTGTCAGGATATAACTTATTGAGTTAGAACAGCCAACTTGTCTGGGTAACTTAATGAGTTAGAACAGCCAACATGTCAGGGCATTCCTTAATGAGTTAGACCAGCCAACTTGTCAGGGCATTACTTAATGAGTTAGACCAGCCAACATGTCAGGGCATTACTTAATGAGTTAAAATAGCCAACCTATCAGGGCATTCCTTAATGAGTTAGACCAACCAACATGTCAGGGTATAACTTAATGAGTTAGAACAGCCAACATGTCAGGGTGTAACTTAATGAGTTAGAACAGCCAACATGTCAGGGCATTACTTAATGAGTTAGACCAGCCAACTTGTCAGGGCATTACTTAATGAGTTAGACCAGCCAACATGTCAGGGTGTAACTTAATGAGTAAGAACAGCCAACATGTCAGGGTGTAACTTAATGAGTTAGAACAGCCAACATGTCAGGGTGTAACTTAATGAGTTAGACCAACCAACATGTCAGGGCATTACTTAATGAGTTAGACCAACCAACATGTCAGGGTATAACTTAATGAGTTAGAACAGCCAACATGTCAGGGCATTACTTAATGAGTTAGACCAGCCAACATGTCAGGGTATAACTTAATGAGTTAGAACAGCCAACATTTCAGGGTGTAACTTAATGAGTTAGAACAGCCAACCTGTCAGGGCATTACTTAATGAGTTAGACCAGCCAACATGTCAGGGTAACTTAATGAGTTAGAACAGCCAACTTGTCAGGGTAACTTAATGAGTTAGAACAGCCAACTTGTCAGGGTATTACTTAATGAGTTAGACCAGTCAACCTGTCAGGGCATTGCTTAATGAGTTAGACCAGCCAACATGTCAGGGTATAACTTAATGAGTTAAAACAGCCAACATGTCAGGGTATAACTTAATGAGTTAGACCAGCCAACCTGTCAGGGTATTACTTAATGAGTTAGAACAGCCAACATGTCAGGGTATAACTTAATGAGTTAGACCAGCCAACATGTCAGGGTATTACTTAATGAGTTAGAACAGCCAACTTGTCAGGGTGTAACTTAATGAAATAGAACAGCCAACCTGTCAGGGCATTACTTAATGAGTTAGACCAGCAAACATGTCAGGGTAACTTAATGAGTTAGAACAGCCAACTTGTCAGGGTATTACTTAATGAGTTAGAACAGCCAACTTGTCAGGGTGTAACTTAATGAGTTAAAACAGCCAACATGTCAGGGTTCAGGGTATAACTTAATGAGTTAGACCAGCCAACCTGTCAGGGCATTACTTAATGAGTTAGAACAGCCAACATGTCAGGGTATAACTTAATGAGTTAGACCAGCCAACATGTCAGGGTATTACTTAATGAGTTAGAACAGCCAACCTGTCAGGGTGTAACTTAATGAGTTAGAACAGCCAACATGTCAGGGTGTAACTTAATAAGTTAGAACAGCCAACATGTCAGGGTGTAACTTAATGAGTTAGAACAGCCAACATGTCAGGGTATTACTTAATGAGTTAGAACAGCCAACTTGTCAGGGTAACTTAATGAGTTAGAACAGCCAACATGTCAGGGTGTAACTTAATGAGTTAAAACAGCCAACCTGTAAGGGTATTACTTAATGAGTTAGAACAGCCAACATGTCAGGGTATTACTTAATGAGTTAAAAGAGCCAACATGTCAGGGCATTCCTTAATGAGTTAGACCAACCAACATGTCAGGGTATTACTTAATGAGTTAGAACAGCCAACATGTCAGGGTGTAACTTAATGAGTTAGAACAGCCAACATGTCAGGGTGTAACTTAATGAGTTAGAACAGCCAACCTGTCAGGGCATTCCTTAATGAGTTAGACCAACCAACATGTCAGGGTATTACTTAATGAGTTAGACCAGCCAACATGTCAGGGTATTACTTATTGAGTTAGACCAGCCAACTTGTCAGGGTATTACTTAATGAGTTAGAACAGCCAATATGTCAGGGTGTAACTTAATGAGTTAGACCAGCCAACATGTCAGGGTATTACTTAATGAGTTAGAACAGCCAACATGTCAGGGTGTAACTTAATGAGTTAGAACAGCCAACATGTCAGGGTGTAACTTAATGAGTTAGACCAGCCAACATGTCAGGGTGTAACTTAATGAGTTAGACCAGCCAACATGTCAGGGCATTACTTAATGAGTTAGAACAGCCAACTTGTCAGGGTATTACTTAATGAGTTAGACCAGCCAACCTGTCAGGGCATTACTTAATGAGTTAGAACAGCCAACCTGTCAGGGTATTACTTAATGAGTTAGACCAGCCAACTTGTCAGGGTATTACTTAATGAGTTAGAACAGCCAACATGTCAGGGTATTACTTAATGAGTTAGACCAGCCAACTTGTCAGGGTATTACTTAATGAGTTAGAACAGCCAACATGTCAGGGTGTAACTTAATGAGTTAGAACAGCCAACCTGTCAGGGTATTACTTAATGAGTTAGACCAGCCAACTTGTCAGGGCATTACTTAATGAGTTAGAACAGCCAACATGTCAGGGTATTACTTAATGAGTTAGACCAGCCAACTTGTCAGGGTATTACTTAATGAGTTAGAACAGCCAACATGTCAGGGTGTAACTTAATGAGTTAGACCAGCCAACCTGTCAGGGTATTACTTAATGAGTAAGAACAGCCAACTTGTCAGGGTATTACTTAATGAGTTAGAACAGCCAACTTGTCAGGGTATTACTTAATGAGTTAGAACAGCCAACATGTCAGGGTGTAACTTAATGAGTTAGAACAGCCAACATGTCAGGGCATTACTTAATGAGTTAGACCAGTCAACCTGTCAGGGTATTACTTAATGAGTTAGACCAGCCAACATGTCAGGGCATTACTTAATGAGTTAGACCAGTCAACATGTCAGGGTATTACTTAATGAGTTAGACCAGTCAACCTGTCAGGGTATTACTTAATGAGTTAGAACAGCCAACCTGTCAGGGTATTACTTAATGAGTTAGACCAGTCAACCTGTCAGGGCATTACTTAATGAGTTAGACCAACCAACATGTCAGGGTATAACTTAATGAGTTAGAACAGCCAACATGTCAGGGTGTAAATGAGTTAAAACAGCCAACATGTCAGGGCATTACTTAATGCGTTAAAACAGCCAACCTGTGAGGGTATTACTTAATGAGTTAGACCAGCCAACCTGTCAGGGTATTACGTAAGGGTTAATGTACGAGTAGCGCTCCATTCCTTAAAAGTAATAGAGCCGAGGCCCATTACTTTTAAGGAATGGAGCACTACGAATTTTCTAAGTTCTTTCTTTGATAGAGGCACGGAAAGGAGAATAAGACCGTAACAAATTCTGTTTTCAATGTAAGTTACAACTTTTCATTCCTTAAAAGTAATGGAGCGCTCAAACAAAAGAATGACGTCACAGGTGGATTTTACTTAATGAGTTAGACCAGCCAACATGTCAGGGCATTACTTAATGAGTTAGACCAGCCAACATGTCAGGGCATTACTTAATGAGTTAGAACAGCCAACATGTCAGGGCATTACTTAATGAGTTAGAACAGCCAACATGTCAGGGTATTACTTAATGAGTTAGAACAGCCAACATGTCAGGGTGTAACTTAATGAGTTAGACCAACCAACATGTCAGGGTATTACTTAATGAGTTAGACCAACCAACATGTCAGGGTATTACTTAATGAGTTAGAACAGCCAACATGTCAGGGTATTACTTAATGAGTTAGACCAACCAACCTGTCAGGGCATTACTTAATGAGTTAAAACAGCCAACATGTCAGGGTGTAACTTAATGAGTTAGACCAGCCAACATGTCAGGGTATTACTTAATGAGTTAGAACAGCCAACATGTCAGGGTATAACGTAATTAGTTAGAGCAGCCAGGGGAGGAGTATTATTAATCTGATCATGTACCATTTGAGGGTGTAGTCTACAATAAAAGTATAATCTAACACTACCAGGATATAGACCTTTGTATTTAATAAATTTTACATTGATATGTACAATAGTATTGTAATATTTTAGTATTAATTGAAATCAGAGACAACACTTAGCTTTAATTTCTAAATAAATAAAAACTTCAGGCTAAATACTTCCAAACCACTGAATCGATATTAATCAAGGTTTAAAAAGCCATTTTCAGGTAAAATGGATATGTCAATCATTGGACGCTTTAGTGCCTATCCATAACAAGAAGTTCATGTACATATCTTCATATTTAATTAACTCATTAAAGGTACAGCAATGCAGAACCCATAAAAATATCTAGACTGGAAATTACATGTATGAAATTACCACACTGTTAAAAAAATACATTAAATTTTATAGATGAAGGATTAATGAGATACATATACCAAAACTGTCTCAGGAGTCATATCACATACATTATGCACATGGACGCCTGACACATATGTGTCCCTTATCATATATAAGTACATTTTCAAATGTTTTCCCTTATGTAACACTATTTGAACAAGGCGTTTTTACATCTCCGACCGTAAAACACATTCGTCATTTGACCATAAATTAGGGAATAACTATCTCCTAATTTGGTATTTGCGACCGTTAATGCTGATTTAACGGTCGCAAACTGAGTTTTACCGGCGACGCATAAGCGGAGCCGATAAAACGGATGTTTGCGACCGTTAAATCAGCATTAACGGTCGCAAATACCAAATTAGGAGATCAGTTATTCCCATTCTAATGCAATCCATGCATTTTGTTTGTTGTTTATGTCTTATTTTGATGAATTTTGTTACATGAAATACGTCACGAAGCATTGTGTTTTTGCGTCGCTCTATTATGACGTCACAATGAAAAAGCTTTCACGCTCGTTAATGCTCATTTTACTGCTTCAAACATCAGTGCATTAGCCAATGAAAAAGTGTTTTACAAAACAATTGCATTAGAATTGATTGTTTAGTCATAAGCGATCTATGTAATTTGATAGTGACGTCATAATTAGGGATCGATATTATCAACACATTCAATTTATACCGTTGAGTTTTTAAAAAAAAAAACTTAATGGATTTCAAACTTTACTTAAGTACCTTAATTACTATTTGTAATAAATCAGTCACAGATGTTAATATAAGTACATGTAATAAGGTATCACTTTGAGTTTTATTGGGATGTAAAACGGGTTGGCAAATGATCAAATCTTCCATAAAGCCCTATGGGCTTTATGAGATTTGATCATGTGACCAACCTGTTTTACATCCCAATAAAACTAAAAAAAAAAATGATACCTCATTTCTTAAGTATTCACACTGAAATCTTTCATGACATTTCTTATAGTCTACTCTAGTCTCAAAACGTGCACCTCCTAAATATAACAAATGCCGAGTAGCTAAATCTTGTAATGAATTGTAGATTCAGTAATTTATTAAATTAAGGAGTGTTTTGGTAAGGGTTGCATCTGATGGACTTCCTTTTTTCAGGAGTTGATAAACCATATGAGGTTTATGTGAATGCCTCCCGGTCAAGCCCCCACTCCTTGAAGTACTTTATCAATGTGTGTGGAGAGCTAGGGATTCAGTGTCCAGACGAGGATCATGTCAGGGGGGTGGCAGTGTGTCAGACCATGGTGGGCAACTCTGGCTGGGGACACGTTCTGGGGAATACTGACCACCAGGTCCTCAAGTAAGTCTCACATTATATAATACCAGGTCCTCAAGTAAGTCTCACATTATATAATACCAGGTCCTCAAGTAAGTCTCACATTATATAATACCAGGTCCTCAAGTAAGTCTCACATTATATAATACCAGGTCCTCATGTAAGTCTCACATTATATAATACCAGGTCCTCAAGTAAGTCTCACATTATATAATACCAGGTCCTCACGTAAGTCTCACATTATATAATACCAGGTCCTCAAGTAAGTCTCACATTATATAATACCAGGTCCTCAAGTAAGTCTCACATTATATAATACTAGGTCCTCAAGTAAGTCTCACATTATATAATACCAGGTCCTCAAGTAAGTCTCACATTATATAATACCAGGTCCTCAAGTAAGTCTCACATTATATAATACCAGGTCCTCAAGTAAGTCTCACATTATATAATACCAGGTCCTCAAGTAAGTCACACATTATATAATACTAGGTCCTCAAGTAAGTCACACATTATAAAATACCAGGTCCTCAAGTAAGTCACATTATGTAATACCAGGTCCTCAAGTAAGTCTCACATTATATAATACTAGGTCCCCAAGTAAGTCTCACATTATGTAATACCAGGTCCTCAAGTAAGTCTCACGTTATATAATACTAGGTCCTCAAGCAAGTCTCACGTTCTGGAATACCAGGTTCTCAATTAATTCCCAATTTATGGAATACTAGGTCCTCATGTAAGTCTCACATTATGTAATACTAGCCCCTGAAGTAATTCCCACATTATATAATACCAGGTCCTCAAGTAAGTCTCACATTATATAATACCAGATCCTCACGTAAGTCTCACATTATATAATACCAGGTCCTCAAGTAAGTCTCACATTATATAATACCAGGTCCTCACGTAAGTCTCACATTATATAATGCTAGGTCCTCATGTAAGTCTCACATTATATAATACTAGCCCCTAAAATAAGTATCACATTATGGAATACTAGGTCCTCAAGTAAATCCCACATTATGGAATACTAAGTCCTCAAGTAATACTTCAGTATGGACCAATAAATCCTCAATTAAGTCTCAATTCAATATGATCCACACTCTTCTTCAAATAATTAAGTCTTAATTCATCATATGGACCACCTGCTTCAAGTAAGTCTCATTTCATAATGGACCACGAGGTCTTAAAGTAAGTATCACTTCATAATTGACCACCAGGTCCTAAAGTAAGACTTACTTCATTATTGACCACCAGTCATACTCGTAGAGTAAGTCTCACTTCATTATGGACCACCAGTCCTTAAGTAAGTCTCACTTCATTATATGAAGATAGAGATTTCTAAGTTCTCAAAAAAGTAAGTAAGTAAGTAAGTAAATTTTATTTAAAGTCGGCATTGTATACATACATAACAATAAACATGAGCTCTGTAGAGCTCTTAAACCGACTCAAGTAAACCCGATGGTAAACCTCTCTTGATTACAGAGATAACTATACAATTATACATGTATACCAGTAGGTCCCATTTAAACAAGCATGACTGTTTCAAACCAAGCAAATGGCATAATTATTTAGGTATATGTAATGGAACAAACATTGTCAGGTATATAAATTGTAGGTTACTTAGTAAAACACATTTATATCAAACCTGCTTTTAATGAATTGATGCTTATACTTAACGTAGGTCCTGGGTTTGCAGGGCTTTTAAAAGTGTTCGAAAACATACCATGAAAATTAATTATATGACTCCTCTACATTTGTTTTACATTCTCTGAAATTTTAGCCCCTGAATACTAGCCCCTGAAGTAATTCCCACATTATATAATACCAGGTCCTCAAGTAAGTCTCACATTATATAATACCAGATCCTCACGTAAGTCTCACATTATATAATACCAGGTCCTCAAGTAAGTCTCACATTATATAATACCAGGTCCTCACGTAAGTCTCACATTATATAATGCTAGGTCCTCATGTAAGTCTCACATTATATAATACTAGCCCCTAAAATAAGTATCACATTATGGAATACTAGGTCCTCAAGTAAATCCCACATTATGGAATACTAAGTCCTCAAGTAATACTTCAGTATGGACCAATAAATCCTCAATTAAGTCTCAATTCAATATGATCCACACTCTTCTTCAAATAATTAAGTCTTAATTCATCATATGGACCACCTGCTTCAAGTAAGTCTCATTTCATAATGGACCACGAGGTCTTAAAGTAAGTATCACTTCATAATTGACCACCAGGTCCTAAAGTAAGACTTACTTCATTATTGACCACCAGTCATACTCGTAGAGTAAGTCTCACTTCATTATGGACCACCAGTCCTTAAGTAAGTCTCACTTCATTATATGAAGATAGAGATTTCTAAGTTCTCAAAAAAGTAAGTAAGTAAGTAAGTAAATTTTATTTAAAGTCGGCATTGTATACATACATAACAATAAACATGAGCTCTGTAGAGCTCTTAAACCGACTCAAGTAAACCCGATGGTAAACCTCTCTTGATTACAGAGATAACTATACAATTATACATGTATACCAGTAGGTCCCATTTAAACAAGCATGACTGTTTCAAACCAAGCAAATGGCATAATTATTTAGGTATATGTAATGGAACAAACATTGTCAGGTATATAAATTGTAGGTTACATAGTAAAACACATTTATATCAAACCTGCTTTTAATGAATTGATGCTTATACTTAACGTAGGTCCTGGGTTTGCAGGGCTTTTAAAAGTGTTCGAAAACATACCATGAAAATTAATTATATGACTCCTCTACATTTGTTTTACATTCTCTGAAATTTTTATAAAATTCCTCTGCACCGTTTCTGTGTAATTTAATTCCAAAGATGCCATTGATGTAGTAACATTTTGGAAGCTATTATATAGAATTGTATAGGAAAAATGTCATTTTTGGCTAGTTTTCAGGCAAAGCTTTAATTTAAAAAATATCAATAACTTTTAAATGGTGCAGACGAATTTGTTTCTCCTTTGGTATTTTAAAATAGAGTTTATTTGAAATATATCTATGTAAAGAAATTAATATGTCTTCAGGTTCGTTTTCTCGTAATTTAATTGTAGATAATTGCTTTTATTTTGAAAATTGTAACATTTTTAAGAACAACATTATAAAATATTGTGACGTCATGCTTGACATGAATATCGATCCGGTGTCATATAATATATTGAACCCCGCGATATTTTGAACCCGGGTTCAAAATATCGCGGGGTTCAATATATTATATGACACCGGGTTCAAAATATTATGCGATATTTTGAACCAGGATTCAATATATCGCGGTATCAAAATATTATGCTACACCGGTATACAGAACAGAAAAATAGATTATAGTGATTTTTAAGAAAGGTAAATTCACGTATATCTGCTTTCAAATGACCCACTTCATAGTAATTCAATACCAATAAAATAATTATTGGACATGTTTCTCTTATTCTTCTCTTGTTCTTTGTACACCTAATATTAGTGAAAATTCTCGCAAAGGACGTAAACCAACTGTAAGTCCTTTAGTTTCTTTCATTGTATTTTCTAAATGTGTTGATTTCTTTCTGTTTCTTTTCTTTTTGTTTTCTTCATGCGCGGATCTATGTTAGAAAGGGCTACGGACACCCCCTTTCCATTTTTCTGGGGTCGAGTCACCTTGTTCCTATTTTGGAATTCTAATATGTATTATATCTTATTAGCTCACCTGAGCCAAAGGCTCAAGTGAGCTTTTCTGATCACAATTTGTCCGTTGTCTGTCGTTGTCGTTGTCGTCGTCGTTGTCGTCGTCGTCGTTGTTGTAAACTTTTCACATTTTCGACTTCTTCTCAAGAACCACTGGGCCAATTTCAACCAAACTTGCCACAAAGCATCCTTGGGTGAAGGGGATTCAAGTTTGTCCAAATGAAGGGCCACGCCCTCATTCAAGGGGAGATAATTGGGAATTAATGAAAAAATGGTGGTATCTTTTAAAAATCTTCTTCTCAAGAACCACTGTGCCAGGAAAGATGAAACTTTTGGGGAAACATCCTCAGGTAGTGTAGATTCAAGTTTGTTCATATCATGACCCCTGGGGGTTGGGCGGGGCCAAAATGGCCGACCAAAGTTTTACATAGAAATATATAGGAAAAATCTTATAAAATTTTCTTCTCAAGAATAACAAAGCCATAGTTCATCATATTTATATGAAAGCATCCTCAGGTAGTGTAGATTCAAGTTTGTTCATATCATGACCCCCGGGGGTTGGGCGGGGCCAAAATGGCCGACCAAAGTTTTACATAGAAATATATAGGAAAATTCTTTAAAAATCTTCTTCTCGAGAATAGCAAAGCCACAATTGATCATATTTATATGGAAGCATTCACAGGTAGTGTAGATTCAAGTTTGTTCATATCATGACCCCTGGGGGTAGGGCGGGGCCAAAATGGCCGACCAAAGTTTTACATAGAAATATATAGGAAAATTCTTTAAAAATCTTCTTCTCGAGAATAGCAAAGCCACAATTGATCATATTTATATGGAAGCATTCACAGGTAGTGTAGATTCAAGTTTGTTCATATCATGACCCCTGGGGGTAGGGCGGGGCCAAAATGGCCGACCAAAGTTATACATAGAAATATATAGGAAAAATCTTTAAAAATCTTCTTCTCAACAACCACTGGGCCAGGAAAGATGAAACTTATGTGGAATCATCCTCAGGTAGTGTAGATTCAAGTTAGTTCATATCATGACCCCCAGGGGTAGGGTGGGGCCAAAATGGCCTATCAAAGTTCTACATAGGAATATAGTGGAAAAATCTTTAAAAATCTTCTTCTCAAGAAACACTGGGCCAGGAATGATAAAACTTTTGTGGAATCATCCTCAGGTAATGAAGATTCAAGTTTGTACAAATCATGACCCCCGGGGGGAGGGTAAGGCCAAAATGGCTGATCAAAGTTTATCGTAGGAATGTAACGGAAAAATCTTTAAACATCTTCTTCTCAAGAACCACTGGGCCAGGAAAGATGAAACTTATGTGGAATCATCCTCAGGTAGTGTAGATTCAAGTTTGTTCAAATCATGACCCCCAGGGGTAGGGTGGGGCCAAAATGGCCGATCAAAATTTTACATAGGAATATATAGGAAAAATCTTCTTCTCAAGAACCATTGAGACAGGAAAGATGAAACTCCTGTGGAATCATCCCCGGATAGTGTAGATTTAAGTTTATTCACAACAAGACCCCCAGGGGTAGGGTTGGGCAAATAGTCTATAAAAGTTTTACATAGGAATATATAAAGAAACCTTATGATATTTATAGGGAATTATTCTTAGGTTGTGTAGATTAGATTCAAGTTTGTACATATCATGACCCCTGGAGGGTTTAAATTCAACCCCCCCCCCCCCCCCCCCCCCCCCCCTCTCAGTAAACTTTCAGTTCTGATATGATCTGGTATGTGCTTTTTCCTAGCCAATTGCTCAGGTGAGCGATGTGGCCCCTGGGCCTCTTGTTAATAATGTAACCCTTTTATCTCTTTATGCTGTTTTGAAATATATCGTTTTCGACTGATACATTATTTTAATTCTCTTCGTTTGCCTCAGTTAAACCTCACGTGATGACTATCTAAAGCATAAGAAGTCATGGAATATATGTATACAGACATATCAATAAATTTGCTACACATTCTTCTTCTCTTTCAGTTTTCCATTTAATTTTTATGTGCCCTGATTAGTAAATAGTTTTGATTAAATCACTCCCATCTAGGGTGAATTTTTTTGGCGTGTATTAGAATACAAAATCGGAAAAGGGTGACTTGACCCCAGATTTAGAAAGGAAAAAAATGGAAAGGAGGAGGGAGGGGTCCATATCCTTAGTGTCTCTGGTTATTTACAAGAGGTCAGTGTCAATTTAAAAAATGAATTATTTTATGTTCAATTAGTACCTTAGCAGTTTTTAATTTGTGATAAACCTGTATAATATTTTTTTCAAATGTCCTTTTTAAAAATAAAGGTACAACTTTTAACGTAACAGGTGTGTTTGCGATTGTTTATATGACTCATATCGTATCGTGATAGGCCTACTCCTACGCTCTCAGGATAGGCCTGAGAAGATGCGATTGATAACGCATAATGAATTGCCCTCTTATACCTCCAGTATTGGTCATTAGAATCGAAATAACCCTCATTATATTTGATAACTTCAGTATGTTCTTTGAAAAATATTACACTAAACTACCAATATTCCAACAAAAGTTTCAGCTAGATATTGCACTGAATTTTTTTTTTCATTATGACGTCATAATCAGATGTGCACAAGAAAGTCGCCCAAATCATGTAAATTGCTTACCCAGTTTTAACGACGTCAGCAAACCCGCGACCTACATTAAGCGATTTTTATTCCCATACAATGTTTATAACAAAGAAAAATCCCCCGTCCCTTGTACTTCATTATAAGCATGTTTTACTGTATATTTTGCACAATTAGATAATGACTTTTGGCATAAAAAGACTTGTCATTGTTGATGTGTTTTAGGTATGTGGATGGGCTGTTGACTCTGACATACAAAGGAGGGGAGAAGTGTAACCATAACAAGTTCCAGAGGGAGACCATCATCACCTTCCACTGCAACCACTCAGCAGGTACTCCTTGGCTCCCAATGTCCATTACAAGTAATGAGAGCAATAAAATTACAATAAAACATATTATTTATGTGAACATTTGTTTGTATGCAGGGAATGGTGGCAAGGGTTGGCCTGTGTTTAACAGAGAAGAGGATTGTACATATCTCTTTGACTGGGACACAAAATATGCCTGTCTGGATCACCCTGTAATTGAAGACTGCAGGGTCAATCATAATGGAAAGAGATATGATTTGTCTCCCTTGGTCAAACATTCAGGTGACTACAACAGCAATTTTTACCTTGCTCAGATGATATCACTCATATTTTTATAATCATTAGGATTTTATAAGGAATTTAATGACAATAGTAGGAAGTATACTTGAATTCCTTTTCATAATTATTAGGTAAAAATTGGAATGTGTTGGAAGGTGGTGAGAAGGACAATCATCTAAGTCTCTACTACATCAATGTGTGCCGTGATATTCTCCATGTTGACCAGGCCTCTCGCTGTAAATCTGACTCCTCTGTCTGTTTAATAGGTAACAGTCATTTGTTATTAGCTGCAATAATGTAGCCCTCTCCCTTTTATTTTTTTTTATTAATTTTTAGCTCACCTCAACGAAGTCCCGGGTTAAGGTTAAGTTTTTTGGAGCAGTTTTCTTTTTAGGTACTTCTATGTCCTATATTGATTAGACATGCATGGAAGATGTTGCTAGTGTGTTTCATTGTACCAGTCAAAGTTTCAGATGCTGCAATTTCAGCAAAGGAATGACCAGGTTAATGTTTTTGGTGCTGGTTAACATTTTTGGTGCAGTTTTTGGTGTAGGTCTCATTTCCGAGTAACTATAAGCCCTATGTTGACCAAACTTACATGGATGATACATCTTAGGATGCATACTACCAGCCTTGCTTCGGATGCTGAATCTGACCTACATTTTCCGGTTGAGTGAACAGGTTAAAATTTTGGGTGCAGGTTTCATTTCCAAGGTACAGTACTATAAACCCTATAACGACTAAATTGCATGGATGGTACATCTTATGATGCATACTACCAGAATTGCTTCGGATGCTGAATCTGACCTACATTTATTGGACGAGTAAACAGGTGAAAGTTTATGGTGCAGGATTCATTTCCAAGTAACTTTGAGCTCTATAATGACCAAACTTACATGGATGGTACATCTAAGGGTGCATTCTACTAGGCTGGCTGCGGATGCTGAATCTGACCTACATTTTCTGGATTAGTGGAACAGGTTAATTTTTTTATACAGGTTTCATTTGCAAGTAACTTTAAGCCCTATGTTGACCAAACTTGCATGGATGATACATCTTAGGATGCACACTAATGGACTTGCTTCAGATGCTGAATTCAACATACATTTTCCAGATAATAGACCTCGTAAAAGTTATGGGTGCAAGTCTATCACCAAGAAACTATAAGGCTTATATAAACCAGTTGCACAAATGATGCATCAAGGGATGAAAACTCTCAATCTTGCTTCAGATGCTGGATTTTAATTACATTTTCATGATGAAGAACTAGTTTTTAGTTTTTATATAGGTCTATTCCAAAGTATCAAATTTGCATAAATTTTGCATTTTTGGATGTACACTTTTTGTTGGTTAATTGTGTGACTTAATTTGCCTTACTTAAAGACAACACACGTTGAGGTGAGCTCTGTAATCTCTGATTACCTATGTTTTTGGGGGAGCAGGAGAGGGCTACAACTCCTTAGGATCTCCGTAATGGTACAGCAGTGGGAGCAATTCGCTCCTGCATGGATTTCAGCTCAAATTGTCAGTAAATGGCTATTTTATTAACATTTCTTACCTTGACTCCAAAAATGTAGTCATCCAAGACATAAATCAATCCAAAAATATAAAGAACAATCCATATATTGGTTATTTTTTTGTATATCAACATCACAACTTGAATTTTTCCGCCATGTTTACAGACCTCGATACATTGTATTTTGGGACAGCCAATGAGAATTTAGGTTCTATAGGAACAGATCTTTTAATAGGAATTCCCTTGTTTTAAGCATAAAAATCGCTGCTTTTGTAAAAATAACACTTTAAATGGTTTTATTTATCGGTGTTTTTGTGATACAATTCAGCACAATCATTTATGAACACCGACAGTTGCTTCATTAAGTTGTTCTAAATTTCAAGCAAAAGTCTCATTATGTCACACCTGGACTGTCATGGCTGCTGAGTGGAACTACTGCAAAACATGCAAAGTTAATTTTATTAACGAGCTATGTTGTTGACAGTGAATAAAAATTTCATCTTATTAGAAGTAAATTTATGTAAAAACAATTTATTTTGCCTGCAGTTACCTTTATTTAAAAAAAAACATCTGCACCATAACGGAGATGCTATGGAATTGTAGCCCTCTCCAGAAAACATCAGATTAAAAAAAATCGGGGAGGGCTACATTAATCCAGCTAATTTGTTATGTACCAAGACTCGGACTTAATGGCAAAATCCCAAAATATGAAATCAGAAAAACTGAATGTATTGTTCATTGTGTTGTGATGTATTCTATTGTAGATAATACAGGAGTACACAGTTTGGGGCAGTACCTCCAAAACCCGACCTTTGACCCTAGATCAAACACAATACAGATCAAATACACAGAGGGGGATTTTTGTAAGGACAACATGCAGAGAAAATCATCCATCATTACATTTATCTGTAAACCAGGTACTGTAACACACAGAGAAAATCCTCCTTCATGACATTTATTTGTAAACCAGGTACTGTAACAAACAGAGAAAATCATCCATCATTACATTTAACTGTAAACCAGGTACTGTTATTTAGTAACAAACAGAGAAAATCATCCATCATTACATTTATATGTAAACCAGGTACTGTAACACACAGAGAAAATCCTCCATCATGACATTTATTTGTAAACCACATACTGTAACACACAGAGAAAATCATCCATCATTACATTTAACTGTAAACCAGGTACTGTTATGTAGTAACAAACAGAGAAAATCATCCATCATTACTAGGGATGTCAAAATTGTCAATAATTGATATTCGAATATTCGATAGTAGTATTCGAATATTCGATAAAATAAATACATCTTGCATTATAATATGTATATATCTTCACTCTTATGTCAAGCAGTATATACGTTTTATGTCATTATTTTGGAATAAAATTCCATGTAGAGTTTTGCAAATGCAATTTAATTATATTCTTAAAACATTTTACGGAATATATGAAGAGTTTATATCCAAAATGTTATAAAAAAAATTTCCCCAAAAATTCAATAGATTCTTTTAATAAGTTCAAGATTAATTAATCATCTTACCAAAGTGTACACTGATAACCCTACAGATTTATACCACACATAACAATTATCTAATGGAGAAACTTTAAAAGCAATAATTACTTTTCGCTAATTAATTTCCTGATAATGATTTTAGATGATGTATACATAAACAAAAGTGTGTCCTTTTAACAATACAAACTAATTCTAAGTACTGGGCACTGTTATACCTTTAATTAAATGATCAAATGAAGAATTTAATAGACACACTATTCACAACTTAAAGGTAATCCAAGAGGAGTGTCTTTAATTTTATTTTAAATGAAATCTTATTATTGGTCAACGATGAGAATTCGATTCAATTTCTGATAAAACTTCAGTTTTTGCCAGATTTTTCATTCTTTTTGATGCTTGTATACTTAAAATCCGAATATTCGAATCATGAATTTATATTCAAATATCAACTCATCGAATGAATATTCGAATATTTGAATATTCGTTGACATCCCTAATCATTCCATTTAACTGTAAACCAGGTACTGTTATTTAGTAACAAACAGAGAAAATCCTCCTTCATGACATTTATCTGTAAACCAGGTACTGTGACAGACAGAGAAAATCATCCATCATTACATTTATCTGTAAACCAGGTACTGTAACACACAGAGAAAATCATCCATCATTACATTTAACTGTAAACCAGGTACTGTTATTCAGTAACAAACAGAGAAAATCATCCATCATTACATTTATCTGTAAACCAGGTACTGTAACACACAGAGAAAATCCTCCATCATGACATTTATCTGTAAACCAGGTACTGTGACAGACAGAGAAAATCATCCATCATTACATTTATCTGTAAACCAGGTACTGTAACACACAGAGAAAATCCTCCATCATGACATTTATCTGTAAACCAGGTACTGTGACAGACAGAGAAAACCATCCATCATTTATTTACATTTATCTGTAAACCAGGTACTGTGACAAACAGAGAAAATCATCCATCATTACATTTATCTGTAAACCAGGTACTGTAACACACAGAAAAAATCATCCATCATTACATTTATCTGTAAACCAGGTACTATAACACACAGAGAAAATCATCCATCATTACATTTATCTGTAAACCAGGTACTGTAACAAACAGAGAAAATCATCCATCATTACATTTATCTGTAAACCAGGTACTGTAACACACAGAAAAAATCATCCATCATTACATTTATCTGTAAACCAGGTACTGTAACAAACAGAGAAAATCTATTCCTATTGTTACCCCCTCCTCCAGTTATTCTAGCACTCCTCTTCAACTCCCTGTTTCTAATGGTCCCTACTACCTCACTTCTTAGAGACAACATTGTGTTTGCTTTCATCGTTCATTGTTTATAAACTTTGGAGTCAGCTTCATCTTTTACTTAGAAACTGCTAAATCAATTTTGACCAATTTTTGTTTATTATAAGTACTATGAAGTTCACCGTATTATATTTGGCTGTGTATTCTTTTTAGCGGCTTTGGCGGAACGCTGAAACAGCTTAATCAAGTACAGTAAAACTTCTCTAAACCGGCCAGCTGCCGGACTGAATAAAATGGCCGGACTAGAGGGGTGGCCGGTTTCCAGAGAATCTAACATACTGAAGAAATGTAGAACTGTGTGACAGATACTAGGAAAAATCTATTGGTGTCTGTTATAATTATCTGTCAACATGTTATTAATTATCGGCAGACACGTAATGTATTCTGAAGGTTTAAAAAATAAATCATTATTAGTGAGGATAAATTCGTCATACATGTTGATTTCTATAAAAAGAAATTAAAAAATAAAACAGAAAAAAACATGGAAAGTTACTTTGTTAACCATAAGCGAAGAAATAAACCAGACCCTTTACCTTAACTGAACTCTATACAGTATACTGCATGTATCTGTGTAGCGCTTACGTCATTAAAAAATTTGTACTTCAGTGAAAAGTAAATAATTAAAACATTTCTAAGCAATTCTTCTGTTAATTTAATTAATAAAAAATGTATATTTTGGTAAACATTTTATTTGTATTTTTCTTTCCTTAGCATTATGTAACTGTATCCAATTTTAAGGCCGCTTATGTGTTTTTAAAAAGATGATGAATATAGCGTGCGATAATTTGTTGATTTATTCTGTGATTTAAATTTATTAGTTGCTTGATATTTTATCAATTCAAGTTTAATTTTTTTTAATCATAATTATGTACACAACTTAGAGCGGCCATTTACATAGTCTAGCTGGCAAGATAACTACCCCTTCAAGACGGTTAAACAATAGAAAACCCTATGAGGCCATATTCAGTTTCCACACCTCTGACTTCTGGTGGGTAGGAGGGTATTTTTCACACCTCCGGCCGGTCATTATTACCGTGGCCAATGACAGTTAATTTCGTGTAATCAGAAATTGGCCGGTATGATGAGGGGAAATTTCCCATGTTTCTTAATTTTTGTTCTTGGAAAAGTGGCCGGTGTCCGGTTTTCAGGGGTGGCCGGTTTTATGAGAGTTTATGTGTAAAGAAATGTTAAGAATTTTGCCGGGACTTATAAATTTGGCCGATGTTCAGGGAAAACCGGTTTCCAGGGGGGCCGGTTTGGAGAAGTTTCACTGTACAATGCTAAATATCTTGCACATATGCACATAAATAAGAATATGAAGAAATGTGCTAAATGAAATCTATGCTAACTTATTCAAAAGTCAATTTCAGTCAAATATCATACGCTAAATATAATACATTTACAGTATATAGCATGCGAACAAAAAGTTATGAGAAACAAGGTCCTGCTTCTGCTGGGTCTGAGGGCTGCAGACAAAACTTTCATATTTAATGCAATCTCTTCACTCGTGGATAGCTAGCTGTAAACATTTGGCAGGACAATAATTCTTGAGCCCTTTAAAGATCTACTGTGTTTCCTTTCTTCTTTGTGTATAGGAGACATGGACAGTGGTCCAGTACTTTTGAGACGGTCCCTGGATGAGTGTATTTATGAATTTGAGTGGCAGACGGCAGCTGCTTGTGTTTTGTCACGAGAGACAGGCTCTGGCTGTATGGTGTACAATGAGGAACTAGGTAGGTGACTAGACACATGTATACTCAGGTATAAAGTACTGTACATGTACTGTTGTGTACAGGATGAACACTTCAGGAAATACAGTTGTACTTCAGTATGTCGAACTCGAATATCTCAAATACCATTGATTATGTGGAAATTAAATTTAAAAATCATGAAAATATACACTGATTATTTAGTACTCTCAATACTTACAAAACGTAAATCCCATCACAAGCAGAAGTTATGGAAAATATTTAAAACAATTTTGATTTATTTTAATGTACTAAATGTAATGCAATATGTATTAATTGATTTGAAGATGACTATATTTATCAAGATTTGTTGCAAGATGATGACATTCAAATAAACTAATACTGGTAACACATTTTGTAGGCATTAATTTTGATTTAAACAAGCTGAAGGGTTCAGAAGGACATTATTACAATGCAACAGCAAAAGAGTATGATTACATACTTAATATCTGTGGCCCAGTAACGAATACATTGTGTGACCAGAAACCTGGTCATGTCTCTAACCCTGGAGTGTGTCAAATCAAGCATGGAGGAACAGCTAAGTAAGTGTGTCAACTCAAGTATAGTAAGTCTGCCCAATCAGGTATGGAAGAATGGCCAAGTAAGTGTGTCAACTCAAGCATTAAGACTATAAGTCTATAAAGTCAAGCTTTGGAGAGACAGCTAATTAGTGCGTCAGATCAAGCATGACAACAAAGCTTACATGTACATTTAGTAAGTCTACCAATTCAAGTATGAAGGGACAGTTGAGTAAGGGAGTCAACTTAAGCATGGAGACAAAACATATTAAGTCTGCCAAGTCAAGCATGGAGGAGCAGCCATGTAAGTGTTTCAACTCATGCACGGAAACACGCATAGTTAAATATAAGCAAGCCAAGTAAATGTATCAACTCAATCTTCGTACGTCTACTTTGGCATGATACAAAATAAAAGATCTGAATCATCTACTGCCATCTTCACTAGCCAAGGGTTTCTGATACACTTTTTTCTCCATGAACCCCTGGCCTATGGTGCTATCAAAAACTATGGCATCATCAGAAATTAAAAGTGTATTTCAAAAATTAGAGATTTGAAAGATTTATTTACAAGAAGGTATTTAGTTATGTTTTTCTTTTGTTATTTAAAGTGCAAATCTACATCTTCAGTCTAGATTCTTAATCACATTTTCTGCACTTACCCTGGTAGTTGAAGATATTGGATAGAATGGCATGTTACCTTAAGGATCATTGTTTACTTTTTTTTTAAATTTTCATTCCCGAGATTGAAGGGTCATGAATCCCAAATACTGATGTTGTTTTAGTTATAAAAAGGAAAAAATTGCTGATTGGTTAACATTGATCCACGCCATTCACAACTTTGGGGAAAAAATAAAACATTAATTAACACCATAGGTCAAGGGTTTATGATTACAGAAGCATATCCAAACCCTTGGCTAGTGAAGTTTACTATTGCTTGTTTCAATTTACTTAATAAATTGTATGAATATATTATCTAAGCAAGGGATATAAATTGTTGACCATGTTCAATATTTGTCATTTCAGTGATGCTTTTGTTACTGGACAGGCCAATAGTAATCTCACATACTATGATGGATTCATCAAAATAAAGTATGAGAATGGAGCTTCGTATAACAGCAAGCCACCAGTGTCCCGCCGCACCGAGATAACCCTGATTTGTGACCGTCAGGCTGGACCAGGGTCTCCCCAATATGTGGATGAGGGGTTGATCACTCCTGCAACATATACCTTTTCCTGGAAAACCGAGTTTGCTTGTCCCAGTAGCCCTATAGAGTGTACAGCCACAGGGGGAGGCAAGCAGTATGACTTATCCAGGTAAACATTGCATAGTGGACCAAGCTTTCATGTGGTTCTTTTTTGTTGTTTTCTTCTGAAAAGTAGAGGATAGAACATGACAATGGAACTGTACAATACCGGCATTTTTAAACAGAATGGTTCTTTTAACAATACATGTACTTCAATCTATCATTATTTTTTATAGAACAGTGGGGTTTCAATAAGATTAATAATTTTGATATGGCAAAGATAATTCCCTTTTTTGTTGTTGCCCCCTGTCATTGATGATGAATCAACACCTTACAGAGTACAAATAAAGCTGATAATTGATCAGTTTTATCAATCAAAAATTTGATCTGTAATTGTTTATAAATGTACAATATGTAAAACTAAACAGGATGTATAATCAACAGAGAAGATTTTACTCATGAAGTAATTGACTAGTGAGAGATGTTGCAAGCATGGCTCAGTATGCCGAATTTTCTTAATAAGGGTAACCATACAAAACACATAAAACTGGATTTATGAGGCTTGAGGCTTTTGTTTTCAGAATATCCATTTTTTTTTTAATTTATTCTAGTACATTAAATATATACTTTGTGGAGAGTATTAAATACTGATTGGGATTTGGGTATTAAGCAAAATCAGTGATATTTTACCAGTAACTAAGAAACTTCTTGGGATAAACATAATCAGAGGCCACTTTCCAATCCTAGAGCTCTATCTGTGTATAGACAAATGTGCAGAATATATTTAATTAATCTCGTAGTTAATGAGATGATGGTATAAAGTAAATGTACTCTGTAGTTCTACAGTCACTTTCTGTCAATCTACTGTAGATCACTGAATTTTGCGACACCTTATTTTCGCGAGATAGTCATTGACTCTTGCTTTATATATTCTTAAGGAATACTATTATGCGCGAGAATTAAATTTTCGCGAGCACACTGTCTCGCGTAATCACACGAAAATAAATTTTTTGCATTCAAAAAGTGATTTACAGGATTTGAAATAACAACTTTATATTAATTGTTTAGTAGATTATGCCTATTAATTTAGAAACACTCAGATGAACACTGTGACCCATGTTCCTCTCTTTTTAGCTTATCTAGAGGTGCAGCACAGGGGAATTGGGCCATAGTGGATGACTCTAGCCCTAACTCCAGGGTCAAGTTTTACATCAATGTGTGTAGTCCTTTAAAGGAGGTCCGTGTGGGGGCGGGCTGTAGTCCTTTTGCTGCTGTGTGTCAGACTGGCTACAAGAATGGACAGGTACTAGTACAACATTCGGCCAATCAGTTTAAATGCCAAAGCAGTACAAGTAACTGGGAATAAAGCAGAATATCAAGGAATATCTGAAGATGTAAAGTTAAAGAATGAAGCAGTATACAGTATGGATTGAAACTGAATTTACAAAATCAGGAAATCTTTATTTTCAAATTTTATTTGAGTGCAATAACTTTCTATGGAATAAAACTAATTGAAACATTAACATATACATTGTCCTATGATGGATGATTTGTAGGAGGAATTGCTGTTTGATAATCTTGGGGAGGTGACATCAGGCCCCACTGTAGATCGGGAGGGTCAGCTTACACTCCGATACGTCAGTGTAAAGAGTGAGTGTCAGGATATCAACAGCCAGAGGAAGAACTGGACCACCAGCATTCACTTTGTCTGTAAGAGGGGAGCACTGGTACGTCAAACAGGGGGCACTGCTAGTTAACATTCCGATTAGATTCAAGGCTATACAAAATTAATTTCTTGGTTCTCAGGCCCTCCCTCATCTCTTCCAAGCGTGCCTCATTGACCCTTTTTATTGCAAAATCAATAATATAAAAAAACAAATCACCTCTATCGTCATTTTTTGAGGTTATGTACAATGTAAAGAGCTTCCTCATCTTATTTTGGGGGCAATAAAAGTCTTCAAAAATTGCCCCCTCCCTCATCATATTTCTTGAAAAAAGGCCTGAGAACCAAGGAATTAACTCTGCATGGCCTTATATCTTGTTATTAAGTTATAATTACAATTTAATAGGAGTTAGAACAGATTACTGTAAACCAATTATTATACGCGTCATTTTTTATTCGCGACTGACCGCCAGAGAACTTATCCGCGACGATTTATTTCCGCGAACGAGTGGTCACATTTTTTTTTATTTCCACGAGTATTTTTGAAACAAATAAAAATTTTATTTCCGCCCATTAAAATGGTAGCCTGAGGTCTGCTTACGCATTATTCAAGACATTCTGTGCATTGCGTCCATTTAAAATCTTATATCCGCCCCTACAGTAGATAAAATGTTTACCATGAGTATACTTCATACGCATTTTTACAACGCTCAAACGAAAATCGGGGGAAAATCTAGGAGATTAAAATTGATTTCAAACTCTCAATTGTAAAAGTGCCTCATACTAATTGGGTAATCGACGCTTTCTAAGATCTACACAGCCAAGGGGCAATTATTATAAATGGTTGGGACAGAGCAGGACTGGGCCATAATTAGCCGCAATTAACCAGGCTATCTCTGACTCGTCTGTAACAATAAATGAACAATAATAACACAAGCTGAAATGATTATTGACATTTTAATCATTTTTAGACAAATAGTTTTAGATTTGCCATTCATTTTTATTTTTTCTGAATGTTTGTAATTAAATTTCAACTGCTTCTTGTACACTAACAGTAAAGTTTTTCCATGATTACTTGTTGAACTGTCGGGATCGGTATTGAAAAAAGGGCAAATAACTCTAAATAAATCATGATATGGGAATATGATGAACAACTGGTTCGCGACGATAAATATCCGCGAGCAGAGGTTACTCGCGGAACTCGCGGATATTTATCGCACGCGTATAATACTTGGTTTACAGTAGTCCTCTTTATAACCTCTGGCATCATGTGTTTATAGAGTATTTATTAATGATTTATATACATGTGTATTCTGAAAATTGGACAAAAATATTTTATTTATATATTTTATACTGCTCCATAAGACATTAAAGTACAAAAATGGTCCATCAGACAAGGGAGTTACAGCACTACCAACAAGTTATACTCTATTAGAGTCTACAGGAGGGGAATTTATCATCTCATTATTATGGAGAAAAGCAATTCTCAGGAAGAAAAATCACTTTTGTTTAATGTTTTATTCCTGAAATATATTTAAAAATCATGATCAGCAGTCCACTTGTGAATAAATACTCTCATAATATTTATTATTTATGTAAGAAAAAAACCCGTGATCAATTTGATTTGAGAAAATTACTCTATAGCTGGTTAAAATCGTGCGGAAAAGATCGCAATTTGTTAATTTTTAGCTCACCTGAGCCAAAGGTCAAGTGAGCTTTTCTGATCACATTTTGTCCGTCGTCCGTCAGTCTGTCCATCTGTCTGTCTAGCTGTCCGTTTGTAAACTTTTCACATTTTTGACTTCTTCTCAAGAACGACAGGGCCAATTTTGACCAAACTTGGTACAAAGCATATTTTGGTGAAGGGGAATTGAAATTGTTAAAATAAAGGGCCAAGTCCCCTCACAAGGGGAGATAATCAAGAAAAGACAAAAATAGGATGGGGTCATTAAAAAATTTTCTTCTCAAGAACCACTGGGCCAGAAAAGCTGAAACTTATGTGGAAGCATCCTTGGGTAGTGTAGATTCTAAATTGTTCAAATCATGACCCCCAGGGGTAGGGCGGGGCCACAATGGGGAATCAAAGTTTTACATAGAAACATGTAGGAAAAATCTTTAAAAATCTTCTTCTCAAGAACCACTGACCAGAAAAGCTGAAACTTTTGTGGAAGCATCCTGGGATAGTGTAGATTCTAAATTGTTCAAATCATGACCCCCGGTGGTTGGGCGGGGCCACAATGGGGAATCAAAAGTTTTACATAGAAATATGTAGAAAAAATCTTTAAAAATCTTCTTCTCAAGAACCACAGAGCCAGGAAAGCTGAAACTTATGTGGAAGCATCCTGGGGTAGTGTAGATTTTAAATTGTTCAAATCATGACCCCAGGGTAGGGCGGGGCAACAATAGGGAATCAAAGTGTTACATAGAAACATAGGAAAAATCTTTAAAAATCTTCTTCTCAAGAACCACTGGGCCAGAAAAGCTGAAACTTTTGTGGAAGCATCCTGGGGTAGTGTACATTTTAATTTGTTCAAATCATGACCCCCCGGGGGGTGGGCGGGGCCACAATGGGGAATGAAAGTTTTACATAGAAATATATTGGAAAAATCTTAAAAAATATCTTCTTTTCAAGACCCACTGGGCTAGAAAAGCTGAAACTTATCTGGAAGCATCCTGGGGTAGTGTAAATTCTAAATTGTTCATATCATGACCCTCGAGGTAGGGTGGGGCCACAATGGGGAATCTAATTTTTACATACTAGAAATATATTGGAAAAATCTTTAAAAATCTTCTTCTCAAGAACCATTGGGCCAGAAAAGCTGAAATTCATGTGGAAGCATCCTGGGGTAGACAAGTGTAGATTCTAAATTGTTCAAATCATGACCCCCGGGGTAGGGACCACAATGGGGAATCAAAGGATCCTATGGTAGTGTAGATTTTAAATTGTCTAAATTATGATCAGTGGGGTAGGGTGGGGTCACAATATGTATTACAAGGAGGAAATCTGGTAAAGAACGGAATGGTCAAAGCTTCTCAGGTGAACGATGTGGCCCATGGGCTGTATCGACTGAAAAGTCAAGTGTATATATCGTGTCGATTTTGAGCCAGATTGAATAATAACGAAAAACAAGAATGATCCCAATTTGAAGTCAAAACAATGTTATACATTCAGATTTTTTTTTATTTCTGAGTCCAAACCAGAAAAATTGTACTGTGGTCAAAATGTTAAACTTTTAATCATATAGTTGAAATTAATTGATTGTCTATACCCTGTTTACTAGTTCTACTTAACTGACTTGATTAAAGATAATGACTGAGTGTTACACACGGGTGAAAATAAACAAGCATGTTTTATTAGCTCTTCTGAGCCAAAGGCTCAAAGAGCTAATGCTATGGCCATTTGTGTTGTGTGCGTCGTGCGGTGTGCGTTAACTTTTTAGAATATGGGCCATAACTCAAGAACCCCTTGGCCAATCAGTGTCAAATTTGTCACAGGGTATCCTTGGCCCAAGGGCTACCATTTATACTAAAAGAAGGGTTGGGACCCTAAAACAAGGGGAGATAATCAGGAAAACAAAACCAAAAGTACTGGTTGCAAAAAAATCTTCTTCTCCAGAACCACCAGGCAGATTTTCACCAAACTTACATACAATGATCAGGATATGTTGAAGATTAAAAATTGTTCAAGGCATGACCCTGGGGCAAAGGGCGTGGTCTCAAGGTCACTTCAAAGTTGACCTAAATTTACAATTAATGAAAATGTCTATATTTTGCTTACTATAAGGACTAGGATCGTCAAATCTTGTAAGTAGATGCATCTTAGGACTTCACATCATGTTAACTCAAAAGTAGGTCACGGTGACCTACTTTTTTAATTTTGCGGGGATTTGTTTTCAAATTGATTTGAAGGCATATTTAGGACACTTTAAGGCCTATGATCATCAAACTTTGTCAGTTGATGCATCTTGGGTCCTTGAACAACGTCAACTTAAAAGTAGGTCACCGTGACCTACTTTTTGAACTTTATGACTTATTCTTTTTAAAACATTTCATCCCATTATTTCAGACACTGAGAGGGTTAGAATCATCAAATCTTGTAAGTTGCTGCATTTTGGGACCTTAAAACATATTTAAGTAAAAGTAGGTCACTGTGACCTACTTTTAGAATTTTGCAGGCATTTGTTTTCAAATTGTTTAAAAGGCATATTTTGATTACCTTCAGACCAATGATCATCAAACTTGGTCAGCTGATGCATCTTGGGACTCTGAAAAATGTCGACCAAAATGTAGGTCACTGTGACCTACTTTCGACATTTTATGGCTATATTTCAGTATCTCAGGTATTTATTGGCTTAGAATCATCAAACTTTGTGAGTTGATGCATCTTGGGTTTTCGGAGAGTGATGACCAAAAATTAGGTCACGGTGACCTACTTTCAATATTTTATGGCTATATTTATGTATCTCCAGTACTTATCGGCTTACAATCATCAAACTTTGTCAGTTGATGCATCTTGGGTTTTCGGAGAATGTCGACCAAAAAGTAGGTCACGGTGACCTACTTTTGACATTTAATGGCTATATTTATGTATTTCTGGTACTTATCGGTTTAGAATCATCAAACTTTGTTAGTTTATGCCTCTTGGGTTTTTAGAGAATGTCGACCAAAAAGTAGGTCACAGTGACCTACTTTTGAATATCTCAGGTATTTATTGGCTTAGAATTATCAAACTTCGTCAGCAGATGCATCTTAGGCCTCTGATAAATGTCAACCAAAATGTAGGTCATGATGACCTACTTTTGACATTTAATGGCTACATTAATGTATCTCCAGTATTTATTGGCTTAGAATCATCAAACTTTGTCAGTTGATGCATCTTGGGTTTTTGGAGAATGTCGACCACAAAGTAGGTCACGGTGACCTACTTTTGACATTTTATGGCTATATTTGAGTATTTCCGGTACTTATTGGCTTAGAATCATCAAACTTTGTTAGTTTATGCCTCTTGGGTTTTCAGAGAATGTCGAACAAAGAGTAGGTCACGGTGACATACTTTTGAATATC